ACTAGTGGAAGACTTCCAAAGAACAGTGCCATCCTAATGTTTTTAAACCTCAAGAACCGCTTCAAAAAGTTTGCTGGTCTAAACATCGCCCTTCTAAATTCTTGTATCAATTTAAAAGTGAGCTGGAGTCCAAAGCCAACAACAAAGTTTTTTCCAAAACACTGAAAAATTTATAGTTGCTTTTCTGTCATATAAATTTTCGACGATAACATCAATTTCCGAGCTATTGTTTTACAGATGACAGTTCCCACCAAAATGTAAGGTATGGTGAATTCTTTCTGCTTGAATAATTTACATGGGTAAAACGACTTACCTCAAGACTTCTACTCAAACAAGAATATCGATGTTTACAAAACTGGTGCTTAGAGAAACGAGTACGCAGGAAGTAAACTGCTTTTTCAACAAATGCATGCTGTTTCTGTAAAACTTTTTTGGAGATAACATCCTCCCGGTCTTCGGTATGATGAGTAAAGCTGAAACTCATGCATAATAACAACTGGATAAGAGAGCATTCATACAAAAAAATCATTAATTGTTGTGCATTTACAAAAATAAATTGAACATTTGGAATAAAAAAGATGGCTAATAGACTATTTCACAAACTTCCTTGAAAACTCAATGATTAATATTAAAAGTTCACTTTAAAAGGTTCTTTATTTTGTGTGAAAGTTGGTTCTTCCGTAGCAAATAAACAAAGCCTCCAATACCGAAAGAAAATAGAAGGATTTGACCTTTAGGAACGTATTTCAAATAACCGTGATTAACCAACTGGTGGAAGGCTGTTTCAGATGCCTGAAAATATATAAATAAAAAATCGAAATTAACAGAGAAAATGACTTTTCATTCATTTTCTGGTTTTCACAAAAAATTAAAACAGTGAGCTTTTAATATCCGTTCCACACGTCGCTCAAAACCAGAACTCCCAGATACCGCAACAAACAATATAGTGACTAAGCATATTGTCTAACATTAAGCGACTAACCAGATTCATAAGGTAAAGTGCAAGCATCGGACGTCTCCGAGGATTTTCGATAAAAATTGACAGAAATGAAGCTAATATACCATTTGTAAGTCCCATCGTCGGTAACACAAAAAACCCAAGCAAGCGCCTGCAAAACGTCATTCAAAAAAATTTTTTTGAACTTCCACTGCAGAAAGATAAAACAAATCGCCTCTCCCAAGTGACGACTCCTAGTATTACTTTCAATCTAGGAAACATTAACTGCAGCTAAAAAAGTTCATTCAAAAGTAACTGGCAGTTTAAATTACTGCAACAAAAAGTCTGTTTTGTCCTATATCACTGGCTAACAAATAAATAAAAACAATATAAAGAATGACAGCATAATACCTACTATCTATTTTGGTCCATACCTTATTTGACACATGAACCACAAAAACGCAGCCACATTAACGACCAAAAACAAAGAAGATCGAGCGGTATCCTTCAGAATTCTCAACAAGTCGCCTTTTGACAATAATCTGCGGGAAAGAAATGCATCCAGCTGAAATTGAAGCCTCGTCGCAGCAGAATAAACTGTTCAAAACAAAACCCATATTTTACGGCCTTTAACTACATTCTAGCTTCTACATAACCAGCGGTTGTATTTCTGACGAGTTCAGCCACCTGCAGACCAACCCACGATTCAATTTTTCGAGTCGTCAGCAATTTATGAGACTGCCATGATAACATACAGAATAAATTTAAAAAGCTTACAAAGTAGACGAGTGAGTAAGTCTTGAAGGAGAAAGAACAGGATGGTAAGAAGGCATCTAAAATAGCGCTATAACATCCTGGATTCCAAGTGTGACCAAACTCGTGGCAATCTGCCGTGTAAACTTTTAATCCAAGAACGTTACTACAAAATTTACTCAGAACGCCCATCAGCACTTTAAGTCATCTGAAAGTTAGATTTTTACTGCGTCCAATATATACTCAAACAACGTTACAACCGTTTTTGGGTACATTTTTTTTGAAAATTTATTAATTCAGGCAATCATCATTTGCAGCGCAATATAGACTGATTACACAGAAACAAGTGTCGCATTTGATAAGTTATAAAGCCATTTAAGGAAATAGCCAACATCAGTATTTAAAAAATATCTTGATTCCTACTTCACCTTTGTAACTTGAGCACAGATCTTAAAAGCCTCTCCTCCCCTTTCCTTCTCCAAAAAGAACACCAATAATGCATTAGTTCATTGCGCGTTGTAGCTGAAAAATGATTCGCTGCACTAGTATCATTATCTCCATTGAGCAGTAAGAGCTAATATTGCCAAAAGGGTTGGAAGTGAAGACAAAAAACATTCGCTAGCAGCGGAAAAATTTTAAATTTCTTACTTTTTTAATTTTATTACTGACTTCACTGAGGGGCAAGGTTACATCACGGCGAAATCTCACACATAACAAATCCCATAACCTAGCATAAACACTATGAATATCTTTAAAACACCGACCGATTGTAATTAGACAGAACAGTCAGCAATAAGAATTCACCAGGAAAACAACACCACAAAATTTTGCACGTAAATTTTTACAAATCTCTTGCGATTCAAAAGCCCCGCTCATTAGGTGTTAACAAGGTTACCGCTTTTGTTTCTACTATTTAAAAACACAGCTCCAGCAGTATTTACACTGATAAGTTTACCACCGTCTAGGTGTTATGTAAGAAAATACAGTAAATTTTAAAAAAAATTGATACTTCACAATTGTATAAAAACGTTCTCAGTTTTGTGCGGGCGGGAATTTAAACTAGTTCAAATACATATTACTTGTAAAGTGAACATATCAATAGCCGCTGAATGGCTGATAAGTTTTGTGTTATTTTTAAGACCCATAACAAATTAGCACCGCTATTTAACTTCTTTCAGCAAAGATAATGACTGTACGAATGTTAACCGTAAAGGGAATTCTCTCTCTTCATTAAGGGCGGATGAAAGGGTTTGTGACGAAGGAGAAGTGAAAATTGGAACTTTATTTTCCTACTCCACCATCTGTAGCAGCTGGTAAACGTCATCGATATATATATATATATCCTCTAGATAACAGTATTTGCTTTAAAAGACTAAATGTTATTTATCTCTGGAGTAGAATTTTGTACCACTAACTGTCTGTGGCTTCGATATCTGGATCACTTATCATTCGTCCTTTCACAACACTAATTTAGTGAGTTTTACAAAACTATTTTAATGACACGCGATTTACTCGACTTCACCTGCTTGTTCCTAGAAATATATCCTAATTCATTACTACTGACGTCGACCTTCAACTGTTGGCCCGTTACCAGCAGCCTGTTGAGTTAATGGGTTACTGAAAACCGCATTCTAAAAATTCCTGTTTTGATGGTTTCATTCTTCAGCTGAATTCAGTTAATCAGACACACAAAAAATTTCCACCAACTTCTGTTCTTTTTCACATATCCGCCGGCAGATTTATGTGTATCTGTTGTACGGATCAAAATGATGGCGTTGAAGAGTTGCCAAGGGTGCAATCTTAGCAGCACAATAGCACATTTTTGCTCGCAGGGTATAGCGTTGCATGAAAGACCAAGGTGAAGACAGTGGTTTATCAGAAACCTTTTGGTGCCTGGTAGATACTTGAAAGTGTAGATACACTTTTTCCGCTCCCCTTTTTCAGTTGATCGTTAGCGTACTGTTTTCCCTTTGGGCAGTTTTGTCTCCTTCTTTTCACTTTTGATTTTGTTCGGTTGAGAACTATTCGTTCAGCGTTTTTTTTATTTATTATCAATTTTTCTTTTTTCTGAAAACATTCTTCAGTTTAGAGGTGCTTTTTTTAAATATAATTTCATTCGTTTTAAAGTTATTGCTGTATTAATTTTTTTGACCGTTATGCTTTTGTTCAACAGAACACAATGTTGTTGCTTTAGTAGTCAGGATGAACAACGGCAGTAGTGCGCCTGAGAATATTAATGGACCAAAACCGTTGGAATTAACTGAATATGATATGGTTTGATTTAGTTTTATAGTTTTTTCAGCTTTGCTTTTCTTATTGAATGTTTATTACTAGACCTTTTTTAATCTTCATATTTTCTTGCTGATTTTGAACTTCATATTTGTTCTAGTATTGGGTTTTTCTATCTTTTTCAGCAACGTCGACCACATAAGGCTATTACCGATTCTACTGAAATACGTATATTTCCACGTATGCTCGCTGCTGAACTGTGTTGCCCCATATGCCTGGATCTTCTAACGAATACTATGACCTCAAAAGTTTGTAAAGTTATTTCTTATTACTGAAACAAGAACCAGCAAAAATTTGAGGTTAGATATCCCTGTGTACATTGTGGGATTAACCGTCTCGCCGGTTCTTGGGAAACATTGTGAGTAACTGAGGTAGTCATCAATTAGATATTTTCCTGTGGAAGCAAGTTATCGTATAAGATGTAGTATGAATAATATTATTTAATTACGAATGGAATTTTTTGAGAATTGGTTTTTTAGGAATGTTTGCACCGTTTTTGCTGTGAATGTATTACCACTGCGTTAATGCGAGGAAATAAAGAATGTCCGACATGTAGGAAAAAGTTGGTTTCGAAACGGTCTCTTCGACCTGATCCTAACTTTGATGCTCTTATAAATAAGGTAAAATTCAAAAGTAGACTACTATGCAACCTGCTTTTTATTTGTCTTGGTTTTTCTATGTTTGCTTCCTAGGCTTTTATTTTGCTTTATTTTAAAGAGACTTTTGAGTCATGGAAGTGGTTTTGGATGTCCTGTTTAATCCTAAATGGATTTTGTAGATTTGGCCTGACCGACAAGTGTACGAAAAGCTGCAAGAAAAAGCTTTAGAAATATTTCAACAGAAAAGTAACATTAAGGCGCTTCAAAAGAGTATTGAGGCAGGCATGAAAGAACAAGCTCGGAATAGAAGGCAAAGGGTCCAGGGTTCCTATGACTATGAAAGTAAGTTATTGGGCGAGAACTGTTGCATTAAGGTGTTTAATTCTTTGAGATACTTTTGTGTTTTTTCAAATGTTATCAGCCTTTCACTGTTCAGTAATAAATAGTGTATTCAACGAGAATTTTTCTCCCAAGTGCAAATGCTCAAATTTAGGAAGAAAAAAGCGAGGACGTCCACCAGAACATCCTGACCGTTCTGAAAATAATTCTCCGGTCAGCAATTCTCCAGAACTCAGTGGTGAAGGAGACATGGAGGTTGATCAACTTCACGAAAGGTAATTTTAAAGGTGTTAGTTTTTGTGGTGGAATTTAATTAAAAGGTAATCTATGAGGAAAGCTTTTCTTAGGAACGAAGATGGGACTTTTGCACCTGGAACTTCTGGAACAGAAACAGGTTTTTTTCTGCCACTCTACATCATTATCTAATGTACTTTTTAATGCTAACTAGTTTTTTATTGCAGTCGCAAATGGTGTAGCGCATTCGACAACTAATTCGTTTTCTGATTCAGACGGTAGCCTTGGTAGGGAAGCATTTATTTATAATTATTTTTTGAGCTGATCGTTTGTTTTATCATTCCTTTTTTAGATTCATCAGCCGATTCTTCTTTGACAGATTCTTCTGATGATTCCTCGGATACGACAAGCACTAGCAGCTCGGAGTCTGCAGTGCAGGCTAGTTCATCGAAAACTCAACCGCAACTTCTACAAGGAACAGAAGCTGATGGCGCACAACTGCCAGCCGCATCTTTATCTGATGCTAATCATAATGTTGAGCCTCCATCCACGACATGCTTTTTGAAGGACCGTATCAACAAATGGGTAGAAAAGAGTCTTTCAGAGTCAGTTGCACCGGTAGAGAACATGGAGCAGCTTGAAAGAAGGGTACTTCATTATTATTCAAACTCAGATATAGAGAAATATTTAATGCTATGAAAAGGTACAGTCAGCAGATTTATTCCCTTTTTTTTTCTTTCCTAGGTTGATGAAGAGTTGGATATTGTGGATATTAGAACCGGGGGTGGATTTCTTGATATTGAGGCTGAATTGCTGCCAGCAAAATCGTTACTTAAAAGAAATGACGTACCAGCTCCGCTGCTTCGTCGTCGGTATATTAGGACTAAAGGCGATACAACAAGTTCGTTTTCAAATTAAATTTTTCTTTGATTCGAAACTGTTTTTCCCCAACTTTTATTTTTTTAGAAGTTTCTGATCTTCTGTGCAGTTAATTTTAGATTTATGAGCTTTTATTAACTGTAAACTCCAATTTTCTAGTGGAACATTTGGGCGAGTTCTTGTATCAAGTTTGTTGCGAAGAGTTGTCAGCAGAAGCATCAAACGGATCGGAGGCGATGACGAGTGCAGATTCCTCTGCAGGCTCAAAAGCTACTCAGAATGTTCCCCGTCCAGAACACTTTTATGTTTATGTTCGTTTACACTAACTTTCTTTTCAAACAAGAAGCATTTTCTCGTGATTTTTTAGAACGTTTATTTTGTAGCCGAATTACTAGTAATTTAACTTGAGGAAACCCATAGCATTTCCACTGAAGTTTCATATCTATTAAAATATTTCTTCTGTAACTTATAAGTGAAGAAACGGAAAATTCTAAGAAGAGGGTTTAGATGATGGTGCAGTTTTAACGGTCGTTATTTTCTGACTGCTTGACAGAGGTCGGCTAGTTGGTTTGATGAGTAGTGAAATCGCTTTCTTTGTTGTGGCTGTATTATTTGTAAGGCTCAGAGAACTATTAGAGTCGTTTGAGACCGCTTCTACCATCAGAAAAATTTATGGAACCGCTGTACTAGTGAATTAGGGATGACAACTGTAGAAAAATCGAAGGAGCTTCACCGGGACGTTTTACGTCACCTGAAGACAATTGAGTCAACTCGTTTTCTTAACAAACCGGCCAAATGCAATTTCAGAAGAGTTTTTTTTGTTTTTCTCGGTTTTTAATTTGAAGTTTTAAGACACAAAAGATTTGGCATCAGCCAAGTCTTGTGATTTTGCGGTCAGTTTTCTTTTTTGAAGGAAATATTTCTCTGCAACTTGTCCTGATGCTTTTTTTTTTACAGAGTAGGTTTGGCGGTCACAGTGTAAATAAAATTTTCGGAAACGAGAACGTTCTGTCTGCTTTGCATACCCAGAAACGCGGTGATCACTTGATGATATTTTTTGATACGGCATCTCTGGATATACACAGCAAATCTGTCCTTGACGAGATTGTTTACGGAGACTTTCTGAAATAACGTTGTAAACTCTGTGGAGGTTTGTTTTGCTAGCTTGTGTTCCTGTAGGGTAATTGAGTTCTTCTTGTCATATATTTTTAATTTCTGTTAATACATTCTGTGTATTTATTGCTCCCTGAAACAGGATTGTTTTTTGTTTTCAACTAACTTTTAATAGATCTCAGTATTTATCAATTTTTACACATCGTCTGGAATAATGTGTTAAATAAGAATTCTGCTCTTATCGATACTGTATTGCCGAAATTAGAGAATTTCGGATGGAGTTCAAGTAATTTTTTGGTTTGAAATAGTTTGTTGATTTTAAGAGTTGGATAACAGTTTCTGTAAATATTCTTTTTGCTCTTCTTCTTCGCGTTTCATGGCTTCTAATTCTGTGTGGAGGCGTTCTAATTCGATTTGGCGTTCACGAATTAATATCTAAATTACAAAGTTAGTCTGCTTTTTTGGGGGCATTTGTTAGGGTCGTTTTATTGAATTGCTACAACTATTGGGAAAATGTATAAAGTTTGAAGTAATATTTCCATTGAAACTGTCAAAATTTACCAAAGCTGAAAAGTATTTATACGTTTTTGTTGTGTTTCAAAGTTTTACCATTTGGCATACTTATTATGCAAAAATGACGCATTTATGCCAGAATTTTATTGAAAAACGTTGATGATTGTCTTATTGTCTTGCATAATTTATTCTGTCTTTTTCTTGTTGTTGTTCCTTTTTTGCCTTTGTGATTCAATGCTTTTTAATGTCTTTTATCAGGTATGTTGTATGCGACGTTTTAGACAGAAATGTTCTGAATTAAATATTTTGAACTGGTAAGTCTTCCAAGATTTTAGAAGTACCATTTTAAAACACTTTTTTGAGATTTATGGTTACAATCAATGTTTGACATTCAAAAGCTTTTTTTTTTTTGTTTTTTTCATTAACAGTACTATTGTCTGTACCTTATGTACTGGTGCTAACTTAATTCTGTTGTATTAGTTTACATTAACAATTTTGATATATAAAACTAAAATCAGCTCAAACCTCTAGTCGTTGAATATCGTACGTAGCCTTCGACTCATCACTTTTGATTGCGTACTGAGAAGTTATTGCAGCAATCTTCATCTGGTTGATTACTTCGGCACACTAAATAAGATAAGATTCTAGGCTTTTTATTTACTGAGATGGAGCAATGTAGTATTATCCAGAAATATCTGATTATTATTAATATTATGCCCCTGTAAACGATTGAGAATTCTGTTAAAATTGTATTAAACGTTATCGTAAAAATGAATCGCAAAAGTGAGCAACTGTGATACAAACGTTTTTGGTTGAAGCTTTAGAATGTTAGTGTAGGGAGGTTGTTATTAAGCCTTTTTTCATTTGGTGTTGCTTTACAAGACGGGAAGAACTTACATTGGCTAGTGCTTCAATAATTTCTTTAGTTTCTGTTTGAAAATTTGTAATTTCACCCGAAAAACTTTTAATTTCATCGCGTAATTGACCTGACGAGTCGGCCAGTTCTGAAAAACAGGTGAAGTTACTTGAACTTTGTTGTGTTTGAATTTGTTCGTTATCATGAGTAGGTAACTTCTCGCCGTCTTCGAACAAACAGGGTTGCACGGTGTTTGAGTCTGTAGGCAGACAAGTGCTGGGGGAGGTGAAAGTGAATTAACTGTACTTTGGTATTAGATTTTCAACTTGTGTCTAGCATTTTGTAGTTTATCGCTTGTGTACCTAGAGCAGCTTTGAATATTGTAGAGAAGAGAGGTTTGTGCAGCTGTTTATTTGGAAAAGTCTAGTGTATTCTGCTGTAAACTTACGCAGCTAAGAAGTAAAGATAATTAAAAGAAACCTGGTTGGATAAGTCGAAGTTTATTGAAAGCATCAACATGTAGTCCAGATCTTCCGAGAACTTCATCTGACATTATGGTTCAATTGAACTGGAGTTGGTTTTCAAGGAAGGAGCAGGTATCCTATGTGCTTCCTTGACGCCTACAAAAGGGTTCAGGATAAGAGCACGTCGCTTTTATAGGTTTATGAACTGGATGTCGAGAAAAGCTTTAAAAACGCAAAATTTAACTGTACGGTTTGAAAAATTTAAATGTGCCTGCTTAATTCAGTTGTCATCAATTGTATGGTTTTGTGAAGGTTAAACATTTACTTTAAAGTATACTACAACAAGTATCACTTCGATTTTTGGGAAGGCAGACGAGTGTGATATCCACGTTTGGTACCACCAAGCATTTTGAAGTAACTGTTGAGAAAAAGGAGTAAATTCAGTAAGTTTGATAGTTACTGGATGGCTTATTTTTTACACATTTTACTGAGTCTTTTTTTTGTGTGTGTATTTGCACTATTCGCAGAATCATCTAGCTTAGTTTTTCCTTTTTTGATTATGCTAGCTTTGACAATGACATCAACAGTAGTATTAGCGTTAATAGTCATATAATTGTAACAGTTTATAGCTAAGTGGGGCTTAGTAGTCTATGAAGTGTTTATGAAATGTTCAGCTATGATCCATAATTAGTTGCTTGGAGGCAAAGTAATTGTTACTATAAACCTAGGAACGATGATCTGAACAACGTCAAACAGCAGCAGTAACAGCATAAGATAAGAGTAACGATAACAACAACAACAACTTATTTTTCCTGGATAAACATGAGATATATTAACTTTAAGTAGTATAACTGTAAATTATTCATAATTTTTTCACTTTAAAATGAATCGCTGCAATTTGTATAAAAGAAGAAAGTGGTTTAACAGAATTTTGCAGAAATATTTTAATGTCAAATTTAGGCGTTTTAAAATTTTTTGTAAATATTAATTTGCAAGAAAAAGCAGCGACAACTACGGCGACTGGCTGGATTCACGATATCAACATCACTTTTGTAATTGCTATCATCAACATCGTCAGCATCATTATCATCACCATCATCTATACTAATTAAGTGTCTCAGCAAATCAATGTAGGATGGGCAGAGAAACTGCTATTTTGATCTTCATTTATATTTGAGCAAAAATTCAATTTTACTTTGTTCAGCAAGTAATTATAAGGAACGGCGATCAGAACTCAACGAAGTCTGAATTTGTTTGCATGTTCAACAAAATTTAACGACAAAATGATTAACAAGAATTTTTTTCTATTCGCAGTTCAACAAACTGAGTCTACTGTTTATCTGTATTTGCTTTTAAACTTTGTAATTTTTGAAAAACCATTTTTTCCTTCTTAATTTCTAATTTCTAAAACTCTAATTTTTATCTTTCTTTCTCTCCTCTGTCTTTCTGTAGCTCATTAATCGATTACCACCTACATTTACTAATTAATGGAACATCTAACTAAATTTGAGAAAAAAAGTCGAAGCATCAAAGAAGTAAAGAGAAAAAAACCTAAAGAAATAGTTATATTTTTGATAAGCGATTGTTTCTGAAAAGATTTGGGATTAAATTTGTCAAAGTGAACATGAAAGTGGAAAGCTATTAAAAATTAGCAGTGCCATTTCTGTGTGGAACGCAATATGTTGCTTAGCAACCTTGGATTTTATTCTATCTTTCAGTTCATCTTTTACCCATCTGCAGCAATATATACATCTATAATATTTGGAAAGATTTAGAATAATTTTTAGTTCGGAAATGTTTAGTGCTGTCATCATTCGTTTCATTATACTACATCATCATTTTTATAGACTAGACTCCTTTCTGCTGATTCACCGTCTTATAGCTTCCTACTGGCTCTTGAAGATTTACAAGTTTTATAGCACTTATTTGTTTCTATAAGTAGAAAAATCAAAGAAATGGATAAAAAACAGCAAAAGAAATGAAGGAACAAAGTGAAGCAAAAAGAGTTTTTTTTGCAGACAACTTTCAGCAGCAAAAAATTTTTTGCAAATTTTTACGAACTAACTATTGCCCACTTGCCTTCCCATAAACATTTAACTAGTTTACTTAAGCCTAATCAATAGTGTATATATGACTGATTATTGAGCTACATTTTTTGAGAAACAAATTAAACAGGATAATTGTACCTAGAAGACTTTATTGAAAGTGCACAGTACTAACTGTTTTCTATCTTTCTGCTAAACAAAAAAAATTATAGTTTTTGACAACAGCAGTACTGCTTTATGTCAAAGAATGGCAGATGGTTTTTTTGACGACGGTAATAACTTATGGAAAATTCAATTATTTGCTGTTGTTGCTTTTTGCTATATTCTAGTAGCGTTGCAGATTTTTTTGAATTAGCAGCTATTGAGGTCAGCTTCTGAAGGCGTTTCTGTACCAAAAATTAGCTTAAAAGAGATAAGATATGATAGAATGAAGTGAATACTGTGAAGAAATTGTTAGAACTGGAAATTAGCTATAGATATATTATTATTTGCAAACCCTCAAGTAAATGCTAATTTTTGTTATAATTTATAGACATCATTCTGTATTATGTCTTTAACTTCTGCTTTTTCCAGCTTTTTATAAAATTGAAACGATAGCGTTTATTTCTGATGAGAAAATTTCAAAGTGAATCAGCAAATACTTGATCAAATTTCTCACTTGTTATTTTCCTTCTTTTTTTTTTTGTTTTTTTTTTTTTTTTTTTTTTTTT